GAATTCGTTACAGAAAAGTACGATGTTTGTCAATATCGACGATCAGATTTAAAAAACGAAACCAAATACTCATTCAAATGTAGCAAATACAGAAAATATCCATTATGCTCATTTGAAATAATAGTTATTGTGGCAGACAATAATATGGAATCAATTAAAATAATGTCAAGAAATACACATCAACATGAAGAAAATGAAAGAAATCCAACGACAAGGTTACCATCATCCGTACGTCAATGTGTGTCTAATCACGTTAAATGCAGATTAGCAGAAACTCAAATTAAAAAAACGCTGGTCATTAATTATCCTCAAGCATCAGTTGATGAAATTAAATTACACAATTTGATTACATATGAACGAAGAAAAGATAGGCCAGAAATATTTTCTGTTTATGATATGCGAAACTGGTGTAATGAACATAAAGAAAGTAAGAATTTCCATTCTGTTTTTGTTCCTTTTTATGAAGTTGATGATATTAATAACTTGTTTATTTTTTTTTACAACAAAACAACTGTTTCAACAAATTCGATCAACAACATTATTACAAGTTGACGCAACTTATAAATTAACCTGGAATAATTTACCTTTGCTTGTATTTGGTTCCACGGATGCTAATCGTCATTTTAAACCATTTGGAATGGCATTAATATCTACTGACGAAGATTCAGAATGTTTTATTCATTTATTTAATTCAATTAATGCATTGTTTCTTCAAGAATTTAATGAACCTTGTGCAATTAATCAAATAATGGCAGACGGTGCACCAGGTAAAATTCAAGTCAATAATTGAATAATTATAATTTTTATTTAGCAATTACAAACGCCCAAAATATGGTATTTCCAAATAGTCGAAGATTAATGTGTTTGAGCCATATGATAAAAAAATGTCGTGATCGTCATCATCGTAATTTAGTTAATAAAAATGACTGGTTAATGATCGATAAAGACATTCATGAACTTCGATTGGCCTTTACTGATGATATATTTAATCGCGGTGTTTTCTTATTGTTACAAAAATGGAACCAAATACCATCGATGAAACAATTTGTTAATTATTTTACTGATTAATGGATTTCGAATTTGCGCTATTGGTAAGAAAAGTTTATAAAGAAATGAAAAATAATCAATCTATTGGACAGGTACGAAGGAGCAGCATTTGGTAAACCATCAACAAACAACGGTCTTGAATCGCTTAATGGGATTATTAAACAAAAATATACTTTACGCAATAAATTACATTTATCTACTTTTCTACCTAAGGTAGAAGTTATGTTATCTGATTGGTCGCAAGCAAGTATTACAACACCATTTGCTACTGTAACTGATATAACTTCCGAAATGGAATTACATGCATATCAATGGTCTGTAAAAGTTAATCAACTTGATATATTGTTTTCTTTTAATAATTTCTACATAGTTCCTTCTTCAAAAAGCGTTATGCCAACATCAACATGGTTAGATCTTTACAAATCAAGTCAATGAACATCATTTGACCATTATGCTGCATGGAAATCATCGTGCTGGATGATATCACCACTTGGTTCTTGTACATGTCCAGGTGGACTTAAACAATATCGGTGTAAACATTCAATTGGATTGGCTATTATGTTCAATATTTACAAAATTAAAGACGAATCTCGTATTATTCCACTAGGAAAACGAAAAACACCAGGTCGTCCAAAAAAATTCGTACGGCATATTACCATAATTAACTGAATAAACATTTTTTGTATTAAAGTTGTCTTAAATATGTTCATTATAATATATAATTGTAATTCCTCTTCTATTTACTTCTTCATAATAAACTCGGTGATCAAATGTTTCTTATTTTGGTGATCATTTCGCAACAAAAAAAAATGGTGATCAATTTCAACTTTTTTTGATGATCAAAAATATTCATGCCCCTTTAGTTTTGTTCCAACATAAATTCATTTAACATAAAAACTTTTTCTGGTTCAATGATTTGTAAATGAAATATTTTCGAAAAATGAATCAAACAACATTCGAAATAATTGAAATTGTTCATGTCCAAAGATCTTTTATTGTTTCATTTTATTTTTACACATGTTTCTTGTTTCTCATTTTTATCGGATTTTTTTTGAAAAATATAAAAAAAACATCAAATGTTTTTTTTCAATAGATGATCGGGTACATTATATTCTTGTTGAAGTTGCTTGAACATCTCTTCAGTAACAATAATCTTTTCAGCATTTAATTGTCTGACCCGTTTTAAAAGCTTTTTGAGATTCTTGAGCAGTTGAACTTCATTCTAAAATCGATAAAACATATATTAGATATGGAATAAGATCTATATTCACATCTAATTTGGTCTTACTTTTTCTGCCATTTTTCTCACTATCTTTTTTATCAAAAATAGACACGAACAAAATTTATGTGTTTTATATATGTATATATAGGTATGAAAATGAATTATTCATTTTATGCCTGTTTTTTCGATATAATAAAGGTTATCTCAAAAGAAAAAGAAAAACAGACGAAAATGAACATAGTCAAGAATGATATATCTATGATGTCATCTACAGGTCTCAAATTGATTCGAATCAGTCAGATTAAGGAGAAAAAAAAACAAAAAACATTTATTGATATTTATTGGTTCATCATCGACAACTGAAATAGGTTCATTTCTTTTGTTCGATAATTCATCAACGATAGATAAAATACTATGCAGATCGACATGACCATACACTAAAATGATATGAATGGTTTAATTGGTTTGCGGAAGAAGAAATGAACTATTTGCACATAATATTAGCGTCGTCCAATAAATCAGATACTTGAGTATCATTTTGATCAAATCCAAGTTATCCTAATAGAAATGCTAGAAGAAAAATAATTGTTTAATTGTTATGATTAGAACAATATGTACCTGATATATCACGATCAAGTGTTTGACGACCTTTTGCTACTGTTGAAAATTCATTGGTAATGAATTGTATTTCTAATCGCTAGTTAAATGATCTATATTTTATTAAACTCAAAATAAACAACACCGTCTAGTTTTATTGGATAAAAGAAAACATTTGTTGATAGAGTTATATTTAAATTAACAAATTTGAATATTCTATCGAACATGCGATTACTTAATTAAGGAAAATATTATTCTGATTTGTAAAAATGACGCAATAAAACTTATTCGAAAGTGTACAATAAATAGTTTAGTTTATCTTCGTATCTATATGTCGTGAATCCGAAATAATTCATTTGTTATTCATTCCTCTTAAATAGCCGTACACGTGTACGAACACCGAGAAAAACAGTCCAGACTCTAGAGAGAACGAAAAATTCTTGTTGATGACTGAAAATGACGTAATGTAAAATATTTAACCTCCTGGATCCGGACAATTCTTGCGTTCTTTACGATCTTATAGAAAAATCAAAAAATCACTCTCTCTTGCGTCCTATTATCGTAAATCAGCTG